CCCCAAAACCCCAAAACCCCGCAATAGCAAGATAGAATACAAATGGGAGATCAAAGAACAGAATTAATTAAAAAGTTACTTATTAAGTTTAAGAAGCCATTTTCTCTGAATTCAGAAGATAGCCCTGATTTTGATGACTTTTTCAAGTTAATTGACCTTAACAGCTAACTAGCAAATCCAAAGACTCTTTGTCTCAATTGCTGGAGTCTCCTAAATGAATCACAAACAAGAGACCATAAAAATTTCTTTGGTCACACAGTGCTGAATTCAGATTCTTTTCCTAGCAAGGAATAATTCTTAGTTGTAGCTAAAGACAATGGTAAATGCACAACGAATGAGATGGGATAAGTTGTATATTTGACAACTCCTACTTCTGCTCCTTAGGCAATGACTAATTAAAATGCGGATTCATAGATATCTATGCAGTCGCAAAACTCGCAATTAAACAATGGAGCAGGAATGAGATCGTATTAAAATTTTAGAGGTGATGCAGCTAACCCTGGAAATCAAATACAACAGAATATAGTGCAAAATGGAAATGGAGTTGGACCTGCTTTGAATGGCTTCTAAGGACCATAAATGAACCCAAATGGTGGTTTTCAATAAAATGAGGAGCAGTATTAAAAGGACGATTTTGGTGATGAAATTTCAGTAATGAATAGCTACGCTGATAATATGGCTTATGTGGACTCATTAAATAGAGAGGAGAGATATGCATAGAAAGCCAAGGCTATGTTTGATGATGACGGTAGTGGCAACACAGGAATTGAAATCATAAGACTCAATAAAAAATTTGACATATTTATGAAGAGATTTATGAGAGCTGAGGAGGATATTAAGGAGGTAAAGCAAAACTTTTATAGAGTCATGCATTGCGCCTTTGCTAAATATGAGCAAGGCTTCAAGAGGAAGAATGAGTATTTAGAAAGAAGAAGAGTTAAGAGAAGAGAGGAAATAGACAGAGGAGTACAGCAAGAACTCAAAAAGAGAGGAATGACAGGTGAGCTTGATGACCCCCTATTGATGAACTCAGTAGCTGGAGGTAGAGTAGATGCTTACACAGGAGCTGGTCATTAAGGAGGGCATAATTATGGAATGAACCCAGAAGATAGCTCAATAGGAATTAACAATATGGCAGGAGAAGAAAGCAGCCTCTCAATAAAGAATCTTGGAAATAACAATAATGGAATGGGATTTGATGACTCGGAATTGACTACAAACAATATAGTTGGTATATCTTCTGGAGGCAATAAAAAGCATGATTCAAGCAAAAGTGGAGGAGCAATACTTTCAAAAGATAAAGGTAAGAAAGACAAGAAGAAAGGCGACAAAAAGAAAAAAAAGAAGAAGGATAGAGATAGCAGCGATGATGATGAGAAGAAAGAACCATCAAAGCCTTAGAGAGCAAGTAACAGACTGGCAAGAGGACTGCCTGAAGAAACAAATATGACAGACTTAAATTCTATTCAATGAATTTTATCCTATTATTTTATCATCTAAGGTCTTAAATTAAGTTTTAATTAGAATCTTATAATTCTTCCTCCTGACTTCGAGTTTTTAAATTATTTGGAGCCCTGGGGTTTTGGGGTTTTGGGGTTTTGGGG